AGAATTTTTATTTTGAATGGGTATAAAAGTATATCAATGTGATGACCCAAAAGGTCATCACTTGCCTTAAATTGAATTCTGTATTTTCGAGGCCTTGAAAACCTCATTTATCATCACCTCGATTTGCGTGCGCAGTCCGTGCGCGTAGCCGGAAAGCTTAAATATGATAATCTGTGAAAAATGGTAAAATTTGGTTATAAAATGAGTTAATTTGACTTCGGTCAACGTTTTGGGTAAACGGACCCGGACTCGTGATTCGACGGTCCCGGAGGGTCCGTAGGCAAATATGGGACTTGGGCGAATGCCCGGAATCGAATTCCGAGGTCCCAAGCCCGAGAAATGAAATTTTAAAGAAAATTGTTTTCGGGAATTGTTTAAAGTATTTTGAAATGAAATTTGCTTAGAACATGATGGTATCGGGCCCGTATTTTGATTCCGGCGCCCGGTACAGGTTTTATATATGATTTAAGATAACTCTGTGAAGTTTGGTAAGAAACGGAGTCCGTTTGACGTGATTCGGACCTTAATTGCAAAATTGATGTTTAAAGAAGTTTTGAGAAAATTTCATTGATCTTGAGGTTTAATTTGATGTTCATGATGTTATTTTGATGATTTGACTATACGAACAAGTCCGTAGGATGTTTTTGAGGTGTTGTGTGCACTTGGTTTGGAGTTCCGAGGGCTTGGGTGAGTTTCGGGTAGGTTCCGGGATGTTTTAGGCTAAAAATCAGAGCTGTTGCAGGCTCAGGGAAGTGGAAGGCCTCTGAACAGGCCAGTGCGGTCCGCACGATATGGACTGCTGCGGAGGAGGAGCCTGTGCGGCCGCACTAGTTTTTGTGCGGTCCGCGGTGAAGAGCATTCCACTGATCCAACTTCGGAAGCATATATCTTTTGATCTACAAGGAATTTTGAGATGATTCAAAAAAGAAAGTTGTACCCTTCGTGTCTAGTTTCCAGAAAGGTAAAGAAACCACAATTTGGACGTCTGTAAAGAAAGTTATGGCCGAAATACTAAGACCTGTCACTGCAGAACCCGGGGTAGCCTGTGCGGCCGCAGCTGATTTTGTGCGGTCCGCACAGGGCATCTGAGAGCAGTATATTTAGACGGGATTTTCAGTTATTTTTCATTTTTCAAAACCCCAAAAACATAAGAGACGATTTTCCAAACAACCTTTCTTCTCCAAATCAATTGTAAGTCGTTTCTAACTAGTTTTCTTCCATAATTAACATCTTTTAACATGATTCAACTTCAAATCAATGATTTTCATGGGCGAAATTGGGTGTTTTGGGCAGAACCTACGTTTTTCAAAACAATGGGGATTTGGACCTCGATTTGAGGTCCGATTTCAAAACAAATTATATATTTGGGTTCGTAGGGGATGGGTAATCGGGTTTTGGTTCGAACCTCGGGTTTTTGACCACGTAGGCCCCGGGGGCAATTTTGACTTTTTGGGTAAAACTTTGAAAAATACCATTTTCATGCATTCAAATTGATTCATTTAGGCATTTATTGATGTAATTAAGTAACTTGTGACTAGATACGAGCGGATTGGCGGTGGAATCAAGTGGGTAAAAGCTATATTTGAAAACTTGAGTTGTGTTCGAGGCATCGAGGTAAGTGTCCCGGTCTACTTAGCTTGAGGGATTAGGAGTTGTGTCCTATTTCTAATTGCTTCTTGTTGAGTACGAACGTATAGGCATGGTGACGAGTATCTTATACATTGGTGTCGAGCATGACCGTGAGTCTTGAATTGATAGTTATTGTGTTCTTGAATGATACTACGGGTGTTAAAATTGATGGTATCCCTGATATTGAGCAAGATTTTGTTTATTTTCCGTGGACTTTACTTATGATTGAGGATTGGTACTACTTGAGCTGAGTAGGAGCTGAGTTTAGGATTGGTTTAGCTGATTCTCCTTGCCGAGATGTTTGTCTTAAATATTATTGTTCCCTTGCCGCGAAGTTATTATATGCTTTGTTCCTTGCCGGGATTCCTTATAATTTTGTGTTGGCTTGTAAATGGGAATCGGGTGGTACGCCTACCACGAGATATGATGAAATGGATCGGGTGGTACGCCTACCACGAGATATGATGAAATGGGATCGGGTGGTACGCCTACCAACGAGATATGATGAAATGAGATCGGGTGGTACGCCTACCTACGCGATATAATGAAATGGGATCGGGTGGTACGCCTACCACAAGGATATGAGAAATTGGGAGTCGGGTTGCACGCCTGCAACGAGATGTGAACCGAAAGTGTAAATTGTCTTTGTTTTCCTTATCCTTGATAGAAATTGAATTTTTGGTTTCTTGATAATTCTCTTGAGATTCTGTTTTATCTGTTAGTCCTCGAAGCATGTTTCCCCTTCCCAGCTTTAAATTATTTATTATAGTTTATTTTCCGCTGTACATATATATATAACTGCACAGGTTTATCTGGAGTCTGGTCCTAGCCTCGTCACTACCTCGTCGGGGTTAGGCCAGGCACTTACCAGCACATGGGGTCGGTTGTGCTGATGCTACACTCTGCACTCTGTGCAGATACCGAAGCACTACTGGGGCAGCAGTAGTAGTTTGGGAGCCAGCCTTCAGTCCACAGAGATCCCGAGGTAGGCCGGGTCTCTTCTATTCACTATTATGTTCTGTTATCATTTGTATCCGAGACAGACTGAGTTACTTTCTTTCAGACATTTTGTATGTAGTAATCATAGACAGTCCGTGAAAGTTGTGGCACCGGTTTCTGGGTAGAGACATATGTTGGCTATTAGTAACGATTTGGTATTATATTTGTCTAAGTCTTCCGCTTAAATTTTCTTCTTCCGCTATTATTTCTCTGTTTATCACCTGTTATTATTAGTGATTAAAGGTATTAAAAATGAAAAGGGTTAAGATTTCTAATTTCATGGCTTGCCTAGCTTCTACGAGTAGGCGCCATCACGACTTCCGAGGGTAGAAAATCCGGGTCGTGATAATCAACTTTGAACTTTTAATATTCTTAAATTATTGATCTCTTTAATAAACAATAGGAAGAGACTTTATTTAACCATGTATAAAGGAAGTAAAACAGAAGTAATCCCGTTTAACCATGTTATGAATAAATATAATTGTAATTCGGCAATAATTATAAAAAGTTGTTGAACGCCAAAGCAAGCTATTAATTTGGAACCAAACAAATTTTTGTTCAATCTGAAGTATGAATTTAAGGGATGTATTTTGGCAAGAAATAGAACAAGTACTTCAAGGAGATTGAAATTAATCTGTCGATTATACAGTCAAACAGGTTCGAACAAGATCTCATATTCTATTCAATATTCTTTATGTTAATTATCGTGACACCGTCTTTTAATTAGTTTAATAACGTGGAAATGTCTTTAATAACGGCCTCGAGGCGAAGCAGCCTCAAAGCAATCAATGATGCGGTCGAAGAGTTAGCAAAGATCAAGGTCACGAAGTCACCGTGGTTTTAGGCCCAGGTCGAGGTCGAGCACCTTAGGCAGAGTTATAACACCTAGTTCTAAGATAAGACATAAAAGAGAATATTCTAGTGGATATTCTCTGCACATGTACCATTAGGGTTTCTAGGAACATGTTCCCTATAAAGAGAAAGAGACAATCAGGGGATGAGATATTCATTTGTAAAAAATACACTTTGACTTTCTAAAGAGAATCTAGTCATATGCAAGCATACAAAAAAGACCTTTTTACAAAGATTCTTGTCTAACATTTCCACGGATCCAAGAATAACCTAAGTGTTCAAAGACTTATCAATCATTCATCATTGTCATAAAATATATCCATTAGTCTCATCCCTCTTCGGGCGACTCACACATTTTATTTAATTAAGCACCATTTATTGCTATTTATTACTATTTAATACCATACTCCATCTTTTTGGATCATTGAATATTGTTATCATTACTCATATTCATTGCCATCTAAACAAAATATAGTAGTTTTTTGGTCTTGACACCGGTAGCTTTATCTTTTGGACATTATTTTTAACTAAGATTAAATCTTCTTCATATAAATCTAATTGATTAAACCAAGATCTATATTTGTGGTCAAACAGTTTGGGGCCGTCTGTGGGGATTTCTTAGTAATTTTTTAAGTTTCCTTTAGATCTATGGCTAACGTGAGCCACTAACCTCACAAATCCTAAGATCTATTTCTTTCTTTGCACGTACAAGAACCTACATGGCAGGTAACCAAGCAGAGAGGACTAGGATAATAGGTGATGTCCCTAGCAACCTTATGAACGCTATCAACGAGAGCTGTGAGACATTAGGCGAGGACGTGAAGCCCACCGCCTCTCCCAGGTGCGAGAGGTCACCTCCCTCCATTGTAGCATAACAAAACTAAACAGAAAAGGGGCCTCCACGTCCGCAGAGGAAGGGACACCACCGGCCGTGAAAAGCTCCTCGAAGCATAGCTGACCGACATGCTAGTAAGCATACTAAACAGGCCCACTCCGTGCACGACTACGAAGGCCGCAAGAACCTACACAACGCCACGGGCAGAAGAATAGGATGACCAACCGGACCCTCCAACACCAGGTATAACTCACGTTGTTACTGACAGTGCAGGTGATAGCGCCCTCGCTGCTGTCCTAAAGAGGATGGAATAAATGGAGAAGGAAAATAAAGCACTCAGAGAACAAATGAAAGAACACCAAAAACAAGTTGACAATATACTAGGCGCCCCTAAGTTATTGCCAACGAGGGACGCCAGCAGGTTCGTAGAGCAGCCATACAGCGAGGGAGCAGCCCCACATGCCATACCATAGACCTTCAAAATGCTGTCGTATCTCAGGATATACGATAGAACGACTGACCCCGAAGATCATGTGACTCATTATGTCACCACCGTAAAAGGCAATGACCTCACCTGGAGCAAGTGTCGTCTATTCTACTGGAAAAATTTTGCGAAACTTTGATAGGAGGGGCATTAACATGTTACTCACAGCTACCAACCCGCTCCATAGAGACCTTCGAGGAAATGGCTGATAAGTTCGTTATGGCACATGCCGGAGCTAGGAAAGCAGAGCCAGAGCCAAGAGTGAACGACATATTCGCCATCATGCAGTCCTTAGGAGAAGGACTAAGGGACTTTCTCGCCCAATTCAACAGGGTACGAATGACCCTACCAAACGTGTCCAAGGGAATGGCAGTCGCGGCCTTTCAAAATGGGTTGATCAGGGATGGTTCGATAGCAACCAGAAAACTGCTGAGCCGATTGATGAAATACCCTCCAACCACTTGGGAGAAGATCCATAATGCTTACTGTGACGTAGTCCGAGTAGATGAGGACGACCTCAATGGACCAACTCATCGGCTCGTCTCGGTACAAGCCGAGTCTAGGAAAGAACGAAGAGACACCGTAGGAGAGATCACCCGATTTTGCGACCCAACAAGGAACCACACCAGCCATACATCAGGGCCCCCGCCCCACCTTCTCTCTGCTATAAAGAAGGCTCATCAAGGCCGAGAATGGGAACTCACCGGAATGAAAGAGGTATGCCCCCATTATTATCTACTCACAATTTTTGTGTTTTGCCTACAGAAATAGTCTATGCCCTGGAGAAAATTAGAATGAAGGTGAAGTGGCCACCAAAAATAAGGTCCGATTCGAGCACTAGAAAATCTGACGCTCTGTATGAGTTCCACCAGGAGCGCGGACACAAAATAGAACATTGCATCGCCCTCAGGCAAGAAGTTGTAAACAGTTGCAGCAAGGACACCTCAAAGAGCTATTGAGCGACAAGGGGAGGAACAACTTCGCTAGAGGGCGAGAACACCAAGGCCCAGCGAAACCGCCATCACCAGCTTGTACTATTAATATGATCATTGACGGAGGCAACGGCGCCTCCATCAACAACGTTAAATTCACCACCACCCAAAAACTCAAGCGATCTATCACCCACGAACGGTATGATAGACTCGAAGAGAATATCGTCTTTAACGAGTCGGATGCCGATGGTTTGACTTTCCCTCATAATGATGCTCTTGTCATTACTTTGCGCATTTTAGATACTAATGTCAAGCGCATCATGGTAGACGATGGAAGTGGAGTGTGCATTATCCATCCCCGAGTCCTCGCCTGGATGAGACTCGAGGACAAGGTAGTGCCACACTTCATCACACTGACCGATTTTAATAATGCAGTTGAATGGACATCGGGAGAGATTAAGCTCCCTGTGTTGGCTGGCGGCATAACGCTGGAGACGATTCCACATCATGGATCAGGCCACCGCGAATAATTCCATAATAGGACGACCATGGATATACCCCATGAGAGCCATTTATCCAGCTTATATCAAGTAATCAAATTCCCAACACCTTGGGGGATATTTAGCATACAGTGAGAATAACACACGTCTTGGGAATGCTATCGTATCGCCATAGACGGCACAACAGCCTAACAGAAAAAAGAGGAATATTAATTAACAGGGTCGAGGTCGACGCAATGAGATGCCAGGGACGTCATCATGGATCCCGAAACACTAGAGGCTGCAGACTCGACTATAGAGGACCCTGACCCCGTCCAATTTTACCCCAACAACTACAATAAAAAGACTTACATCGGCTGCAAACTCTGAAAACCAGGTAAATTCAATCATTTTTTAATAACTAATGCACATTTGTTTGTCTTCAGCCATGCAAATATGTCAGGCATCCCCTAGGAGATCACCACACACAAATTAAATGACGAACCGTTCTACCCTCAGTTAGGCAGGCCATACACAAATTCAATCCCACCATCAACGATGCCGTCTACAAAGAAGTGGAGAAACTATTAGAAAATGGCTCCATCAGGGGTGTCGAAGTACCCCAAATGGATCGCCAATGTAGTGATGGTCAACAAGGAAAATGTGAAGTGGCGGATGTGCGTAGATTTCACGAACTTAAACAAAGCATGCCCGAAGGATTCATTTCCATTTCCACACATCGACCAACTCATCGACGCTGCGGCCGGGCACGAGTGGTTAAGTTTCTTGGATGCATACTCGGGCTATAACCAGATACTCATGGAAGACGCAGACCAAGAGAAAACCACGTTCATTACCCACCGAGGAACATATTGTTATTGGGTCATGCCATTTGGGTTGAAGAACGGCGAGGCTATATTTTAAAAGGTTAAGTTCAACCCAGCTTGAACGACACTTATCGGCCCTCGGTCCATTTTAAAAGGCTAAGTTCAACCCAGCTCGAACGATACCTATCGACCCTCGTCCGCGTTTTAAAAGCTTAAGTTTGACCTAGCTTGAATGATACCTATTAGCCCTCGATCGCATTTCAAAAGGTTAAATTCAACCTAGCTCGGACGACACTTATCGGCCCTCACCCGCGATTTAATTCGACCGAGTGCGAACAACACAAAATGGCCCTCGACCACGAGTTTGCAAAAAACTAGAATCAACCAACTCAAAACAACACCTATCAGCCCAATCTAAATAAAGAGGCACACCCGATCTATATGAACAAAGGGAAGATACGGCCCATAAATATTCATGAACAAGGCTACGAACAGCAAGAAGACAACGACAATAGAAAGAGCAGAAAGCATAACAATCAAACAACAAAAGCAAAGTATACAAGTGCGGGAACGAATAATAGGTACGAAGGAAGGCACAGAAAACAACTTAAATATCCATATACAAAAAAAGAGCTCATTACAAGGGCTTTTAAGGACGCCCACAAAATACGCAAAAAAGTCTAAGAGAAAGACTACCGGCCCTCGCGGTCACGGTCCCCCGCGACCTCACCAGCCCAGCCCCCGACACCCTCGCCACTTCACCTTGAGGATAAGTGGTACCATACCAGACATCCCACTCAAGCCGTTCCACACCATCTTCCCCATCCTCCTCGTAACCTTAAGGCCTAGTGGGATCATAACCACAAGCGAATCGAGCGTCACGAGCCTTAACCCGGGCATCCTCAAAGGCAGCCTCAGGAACGGAACCCACAGTATGCAAATCCCCGAAACACGTCGAACTAGGCCTTGGCATGAATTCATTCTTCATATGACTCCCGAGGTACAGTGGGAAAATCAAAAGTTTTGGACGAGGACGATCGTGCAAGAAGATGAGCCTTCTTGGCCTCTAGAGCGATCACTCAATGATGAAGGATAGAGTTGTCATTCTCTAGCTCCCCGATCCTCTCCTCGAGCTGGTCTTTCTTAGCTCTCACTATCGATTGATCATTTTCTCGCTCGGCTTGAGGAGTCTTATTCATCAACTCGAGCATCTCCACCTTCCTCCGAGCATCCAAACAAGAGGTTTCCGTCTTCTCGATTTCCTCCTGTTTCTCGGCAACCTCACCACTGAGGGCCTCCAAGTCCAACTAAAACCAACACTCTTCGAGTTACCCTCGCAATTCAACCAACTTGAGCTTGAAGATCATTGTATTAGGCCTCTATGCCCCTGCTAACCTCAAGTTCCTATTCCCAACTTCTCAACGTCCCCTCGAGGACGCTGCATTTCTCGATGGCCTGCACCAGCTCATCGTCCCTCTTCTTCAGATCGTCCCTCAGGGCCTATATGTCGTCACCCTTGCGAAATCAACGGCAGAGATCCTGATACTTGTCTCGATACTCAAGGTAATTATCTTTCAGTTTCACGGAGATCTCTTTACGCCTCTTCTCCCTCCAAGCGCTCTCAATTTCTAAAATCACCGTCTACAAACCAAAAAAGAGGAGAAAAAGTTTAGAATTATGAATGCCCTGAAAATAAGAAAAACGTTTATGACACAAACAGTCACCCTAAGAGCGACGCCAGCAATGCTCATCGACAAGGCACCGTTATTTATTTCCTTGAGGTTCTTACCCTCAAGTTCGGAACAAAGAGGACCAAGGGCTGGGACTACCTCCTCGGTGTTCACCAACAAGTCACGGTCCATAGGGATCGCGATTGTCCTCGTAGATCTTTCTAACCTTACCTCGAGCTAAGTAAGCCCCTCTTCAATCATTCTCAGAACTTCAGCATCGACATCAGAAACTGACTCATCACTCTCTTCAGAAATGATTTTGCCCCTTCCGTTGGTAGATAATGAGGCATCAGTGCCTGTCCCAGAGGTTGAAGCCTCCTCTTGCCAGAAGGGTCGAGAATATCAACAGTCGCCCCCTCCTCCATCCCCTCGGAATGAAGAGATACGCCTACATCATCTTCTACCGGCCTCAAGCCTCAGGACTCGGTTCAACAACATCCCGACAAAATTATCATTGTCTCACGCAGCGAAAAGTTCCCTTATGCCGCTTCAACGGCCAAAGTAACTCTGTCACCCGCATCCACAGACCTCCTCTTTCGAGATTGGAGATCTTCATCACTAGGCAAAGGCTCATCGTACTCATCGATGAGAGTGTATAGAGGAGGGGAATAAGCCCGAAAGGCCAAAGTAGAAGCAAAGGCGGAAGAGACGACAGGCGGATTTGGAACAAAGACAGGGTCGGCTATAACCGAAGCAGGGGCGGAGATTGAAGGTGTAGTCGACCTCCTCTTCCGAAACGAGGGTGTAGGAGCTCTCGAACTCCTCGTTGACCCCCTGTCTGAAGCTAAAGAAAAATGGGAAGGGGAAAAATCAGCAAAGGTAACAGACATGGGCAAAGAAATCACGACGTCGACGATAGAGAACAAGTTACCTACCAAGGGAAGAGATGGCCTAAATCTCTGAGAAAAGCTCAACCAATCGCGCATTCCCGCCGTACGAGGAAGAATCTATGTAACCCAATCGGCAATGTGGGCCACCATCTGGAGAGGTCGAGCAGTAGCTGCAAAAAGGAGAAAAACGATTAGCTGACTCACAGTGAGGAAAATATCGAAAATAAGAAGGTATATGTCACACCCCTTTTTCACCTTTAACCCCTTTAAAGTAATAAAGTGATTGGTAAATCTCGAAAGGGTTTTCAATTATGAAAAGTGACAAAATTGTGTTTTAAAAGGGTTGTTTAGAGTCGCCGCCTGACATTTGGTTTCGGTGTGTCAGGTCACCGTTTCAGAAATAATTTGTTCTTTTGAAACACGTTTAGACTCTAAAACAGACTGCACTAGAGATTTTGAGTAAGGGGGTTCATTTGACTCGGGGAGAAGGTGTTAGGCATTCCCTGAGTCCCATCACTAGTATGATTGCATACTTGGTCCGGTTGGCTTTAAAGGGTATTCAAATTGAGGTAAAACACACAAGGCAGAAACAAACACAAAAGGTTCGGGGTCGTCCTCCACCTAATAAAAGAAAACAAAATAAAATAAAATAAGTCTTACTATCCTATCCTATGCCTCCAATGATGACGCCATAGCCTCCATTTACATTCACTACAGGGCATACCCCGGATAATAATATGTACAAATTTACGGGGCATTCCCGTGAACATAGACTAAAGGGAACGACCTCTCACCTCGAATTAAATAAAAGACGAAACCTAAAATGCGCCTACCCGAGTGTGATCGGCCTAAACATGATGCTAGCGGCTTTAAACACAATAAAATGAAGCAACATGCAAGACAATAAGCAATAGTAAAACAAGCTACATGACTTTTAAATTCAAACCCAAATCATATATGAAGTGTATCAATTCGTGTTCATCCCAGCAGCTCAAAGTCTTGTGGAATTATTATGCCCAAATACCAAGACCTCAATGCTATTTTGAATCACTAATATTTTTAATTAATGCCAAATATCACACAGTTCACTACTTTTTATGTTTCAAGATTAAATCCTCATGGTTCAACAATTGAAGCATCACTGTTTCTTCGGGATTCATTAATTACTATTCTTCCTAAATCAATCATTTTGACTCAAATCAACTAATATTTAGCAACCAGTGTAGCGTATCAACCGTAATATAATTAGTCAATGTAATTTAATCAACTAAATTAGCACTAGTAAATCCAACGAAGGCATCACAATAGTGTCATTGAAATTCAGATTAAAGAGAGAGAGATATATGGACCTTCTCAAAGTGACCTGTCCAATAATAATGAATCAATCTCGGTCCAGCAGCAATGCCGGAGAACCAAAATGAAACTCGACAACAAAGTTGAACCCAAATTTCGAATCCGGACTAGAAACCGTAAAGGGGACCTCGATGGACCTCGTGCAAGCAGTGATGAAGATAGAAGAATGGATTTGTATTTTTTGGTTCTAGGAAGTAAAACAAGAATTTTTGACCTTCTCTTTTTTTTTTTTTGAAATTGAAAAACAGAGGAAGAAGAAACCCCAAAGTCAATCTCAAGTTCCTCTAAATTCTCTCGTTTTTCCACTGTGT